CGTTATTTGAACTATTGTTAGCAAGATTTAGTCTAGATTATGCAGACCTCCATATAACATAATGAACTATTGTTATGTGCTTTGATATGTAATCGTGAAATCTATTCTATTGTTCTTAATCAAACAAGATTTTGGTATATTTATTTTTCCAGATCCCGGGGCTAGTAAATGTGGATTTTGCTGATGTCAGAGCAATTATGGCTAATGCTGGTTCCTCGTTAATGGGAATTGGAACTGCTACAGGTACTAGTTCAAGAAGTCATTTCATGTTAGTTAGTCCCACAAAGTTGTGATGCCTAAATTTGTATATGATTAGATGCCACAACCAATGGCCATTAATTCTCTTTTGCTTATCAACACATGTCAGTGTTATATATGCCTTCTCGTTTCATTTTATTGGCTATGAAATTTAGAAGAGAGTACTTATCTTCAGTTACTACTATAGTAAAAATTTGAAAAAATTGCTTGCTCGAGCAAGTACACATTGATAGTAATGAGTAATGACCATTCATTTACACACTACTTATGAGTTTTGGCTTCATCTTTCATAATTTTGCTACAATGCAGGAAAAACAAGAGCTCGAGATGCGGCATTAAATGCCATACAGTCTCCTTTACTGGATATTGGTATAGAGAGAGCCACTGGAATTGTATGGAATATAACTGGTGGCAGTGATCTAACATTGTTTGAGGTGGTTATCTCTCTTTGTACAAATTGTCCTTTTCTTTTTCTTTTCTTTCTTTCTCTCTATTGGGGGTATTATTTTATAGGGAAAATTACGCTTTGCCTACCGAACTATTCGCGTTTTTACACTTTGTCCACTCAACTTTTTCCGGTGACACTTAAACCCGTTGAACTTCAAATATTCTTGCACTTAGCGACTTCCGGCCACTGGAGATGCAAAATCAAGGGCAAAGTGTAAAAACGCGAATAGTTCGGTAGGCAAAGTGTACTCGTGAAGACTGATTTGAGGTGTCTCATAAGGTGTAAAGGACGATTTTGCCCTTGATTTTGCATCTCCGGTGGCCGGAAGTCGCTAAGTGCAAGAATATTTGAGTTCAAGGGGTAAAGTGTCACCGGAAAAATTTGAGTGGGCAAAGTGTAAAAACGCGAATAGTTCGATAGGAAAAGTGTAATTTTCCCTATTTTATAAACATGCTGTTCCTTTCTGGTTCGATTTAAACCTTTGAATTTCAGTATACTCGGTCATTTGGCTTGTGTTCACCTCTCATTTGGCTTAAATGATTTTATTGAACTCTATCCGATGAGAAAGCAAACACAAGCATATATTACAAAAAAAATACTATGGGAAAATATGCTTTAACTGGTTTCGTAGTTATTTATAATCGAAGATTCTTCATAATTAGGCTGATTTCAATACGTATGTGTTTTAACGTGAAATTTACAGGTTAATGCTGCAGCGGAGGTCATATATGACCTAGTGGACCCAACCGCTAACTTAATTTTCGGTGCTGTAGTAGATCCATTGTTAAGTGGTCAAGTAAGTTGATTCTCTTCAAGAAATTTTTGAAACTTTGTTAATTATTGTTGTCAGCTGCCTCGAGCTATCTGCATTTCATAGTGTCTGGGGACGAGAGAAAATCTTAAAAAACAAGAAAACAGATAGTACGGTAGACTTGATACATAATGAATTATCGATTGCCTGACTGTATTTACTGTCTTTTAAATAAAAATGACCTTACTAGCACAGGTTCCTGATTTTTTATTTTTTTTTTATTTTATTTTATAAGATATGTATGTAGCTAGCAAAAAAAAGGTTCATTTGTTGACCTTTTGATTTAGTTGCATTTTCCTCTGACTGAAAAGACCACAAGCTATCCCTAGCAAAATCCTCTCCAATATGTAATCCCTTTTTTGCAAACCGAATCTTTTGGTTTCTGTCCTAACTCCTAACTGCATCAAAATTCACAATTTAGGCCCTTAAAAGAGTTATTTTATTTCACAATGAGGTCCCCACAGACAAACTTTTGCATACGTTCGGGAGATACAGATGAAGAATGTCGTTAAGCTCCAAGAAAGTCTCTTAAGGTCTGTACTTCTTGTATAAATGTCCTGAAATTTTGATAATTTTTGTCTGATAATTCAGGTTAGCATAACTTTGATAGCAACTGGTTTTAAACGTGAAGAAGAAAGTGACGGGAGAACCCTTCAGGTATACTTTCCGTGTCGTTGCATGACAGAACTATTTATTCGTAAGCTCAGTAGCTTATATTTATTGAGCACTTATTGAAAATGATGCTATTGATGCAGGCCAATCAGCTGGGGCAAGGAGATTTGAACATTGGTCTCAACAGGCGGCCCTCGTCTTTTTTGGAAGGCAATTCAGTTGAAATTCCCGAGTTCTTGAGGAAAAAGGGGCGCTCTCGTTATCCGAGAGCTTAATTTCTCTCATGCTATATTTGGCTTGCGGTTTTCTTCGACTTGATCTTTACCTTTCGGGATGGCCCGAGGATTGTGGTATTTTGTGTGTACAGGCATTTGGTTCACATTGTTAAAGAATCATAGGGTTTGAGAATGATAGGCTTTATCATGTAGAAACTTTTGTTTACCTGCATTTTGTGTTTGTCTTGAAACTGTGCCACTTAAAGGGAAGAAAAGAAAATTGCTAGTTAAAAAAATGGGGGTTTGATTGGATTTATTGGGTGATGTTAGTTAATTTTGAATGAAGATGATTGCATGGAGAATTGAATGTGATTTAGAGATATAAAATGTAATTAGTAAAGTTAGTGTGATATAAAAAATAAAAGAGAGATTATTGGAAATGATAGTTAAAAATATGTGAGTATATGGATAGTGAATTAAAATTAATATGATGTGTGAGGATGATTGGTTAATATATTTAATGTTATTGTTAATATTGAGGAAAGTAAATATATAACTTCATCTTGATGGAATAATTTAGAATAGTAACTTTGACTTTTTAATTAAATAAATTGACTTACTATTACAGGAAACATAGTAAAAGTTTCTATAATATTTATAAAAAATAAACACAAAATAATGTATGTCTGTTGTAAATCGTGCAATTCGGTTAACAACATGATTTTCTATATAAATAGAGTTGTGTCAATTTTCAAAACTATATTGTGATAAGTCGCAACAAATATTCAAGTCTTTATACTAATTAAGAACCACTTGCAATTTTTTATTCTTTTGGTAACATACCATACAACATGTCTTCAAAAAACATTTATTCAATAGGTTTTGTTTTTAGAAAATATTATTTGTATATGCACGATAAAATTACAAATATAATTATAAAATAAAAATTAGAAATCAATTTATGAAAACTATATTATGATAGGAAAATGCTGAAGTCTCGCATGGGACCATTCCACCAAAAAATGCTCCAATGAAAAATTGTCACGTAAGCATTTACGGACTACATTTAAGGGTCCATATCAAACTAAAACATCCAATGATTGATATTAAGGGAACGATATCATACCGTGACGAGATTGTAGTCAACCTCATTATGATATATATATATATATATATATATATATATATATATATATATATATAACAATGTTTTTACAATAAAATTTTATTTAACAACATCAATAACAAACCACATTGATTTCTTATTTATTTGCTAATTAGCCATATCACTAAATATTTTTTATCGTATCTTCAAAACAATATTAATCAAAAGTATTAGTTTAGAATCATTTGATTATCAGTAACGCAATCGTTTCAGTTTTTAAAAAAAATTGTAAAGGCAATTTTCCCTAACATGAAAAGAAAGTTACTATTTATTGTTAATAACAAACCAATTTTTATTCTTAATAACAAATTGTGCGTTCTCATATTTTGTGGACATTCAGCCATATTTAGACCGAAATATGTCTTCTGATTTTCTATTCATTTGGTAACGAGCCATATATTACAAATCATCTATTCAAAGAGTTTGAAAATATCTTTTGATTTTATCAATAACTAGACAGAACTAGCCTTATCAAATTCATATTATGATTCACAATATCATAACAAATCTCATATAAATAAATATTAGAAAGAAAAAATAAAATATTTATAGTATTATAAATTATAAGAAAAACAAAATAAGATTGACATAGTTAAAAATAATAATTTTTTAACTTCAAAATAAGATATATTATATTTTTTTTTTTCAATTAAGTGTTGGCCATAATATTTGCCACAATTTTTCAACTTTAATATAACTTATTTAGATCGAGATACTATATTGTAACAAGGCATGCGTAAGAAAAGATGGAGAGAGAAAATTATCATGTAAGTATTATTTATTGATAAGGATGAATATGTTAAATATTTATTATCTTTAATTATAAACATGAACTCTAGAATAACTAATTTATAACGAGTAAAATATATATATATATATATATATATATTATATATATATATATATATATATATATATATATATATATATCCTACGTTAAATTATTATATATCATAAAATAAAGAAATAAAATAATATTAAGATTCAAAACTATTTTTTTACTAATTAATATTTTTTCATTGCTTAAAACATGTAATTTATAATTATTGCCCCGCGATGCGCGATGTACTAGTTGTGTTAAAAAGTTGAGAATGCTAGAATGCAATTCAGGGTTCAGAGTTACATATTTATATTGCTTATATTTTCAAGGATTCCATGAAAGATTTTTAGGTGACAACAATTAAAAATGTGGAAACATGAAGCAAATTAAATCATGTACTATAAGAAGAAAAACAATGTTAAATGTTCATTCATTATTAGATTTTTAGAAATAGCAGAAGCCTTAACTTTCATCACTAATAAGCATATATTTTCCCAGTTTCTGCTCATACAATATTCAAAAGAATCAAACATACAAAATCTGAAAATCATTAACCTGACTTCATCTCTTTCCCACCCTCCACAATCTTAGGGACAAACCTTGATACAATAGTAGCATCAAAACGAATCTCGGTAAGCAATCTTCTTGGCTGTGTGGTAATATGTACATTTCTACTTCACCATAAAAGAGCTTTTACAGCTACATCCACCCACGGCACTCGGATTTGTGGACACCTGCATTCAACATTAACCCTTCAGACAACAACAGATGTTTCGAAATTTTTACCAAGTTTGGCTCTTGGAAGATATTTTGTGTCCAACAGTTTATAGTGAGGTACTACTTGATACTTTGATAAATTAATGAAGGTATCATAGTCGAGGTTTTTGGTTAAGGTTGATTGCAAAAGGAGCAGAGGAGAACCGTGAGAAACTCGGATTTGAGGGAAAAAGAAAAAAGAAAAAAGAAAAACACTGAGATCTGAGTCTAATGTAGCAGAAGGAAAAAAGTGCAATCGCATGCGTATATATATAGTCGCAAACAGGAAAAACGTATCATATGAAGTACACATCAGAACCGTGTTTTTAGGGTCTCCCAAGTGAAGCATAATTATTTTAAAATGCCAATATCAATGGGGTGTACTTTTATATATATCGGGAACGGTAGTTTGATTATTATTTCCTCTGATCTTGTGACACTTGACATTGCGTGATAATTGACTGCTCCAATGAGAACAAGAAAGGATACACCTCTAGGCTCTAATGCTTAACTCTCAATTATTTGAATCTTTTCTCGTCAAATAAATCAAATCTTCACACGTATGCTTACTAGCAGTCACAATTTAAGAACTAAAAACAGACAATTAGCAGTTTCACCCTGCACTTTCCGCGTTTATAATCCTCTAAAACTAAAGATAAAAGGAACTACGGGAACCCAAAATAAGATTCAAATCAATTCTTGAATCTCAATTGTAAGGCACTGACTAATTCTCTTTTAAGTGTATATGGGACATTTTAAGCAGGTACGAGAGTTAAACTGTACTGCTTAACAAACTCAAATGCATAAAATTAAGCAAAAAGTGGTGGCAATTTTGCCAAGCAAAATGATGTTAGACACAAAGCAAACTTGTTTCAGCTGTACAATGAAAACACAAAGCAACTGAAACTCTCACAGGCCTCTACGGATTGAAATGCAGATGACTCGGGAAAAAAACAACCATTTCAAGAAAATTAACCTGGAAAGCCGAACGGATAAGTTCCTCAACATAATCAACAGTTGCACCTTTCACAAAGTCAAAGGAGATATTATCAACTACCAATTTCACCCCATCCTGCTCAAAAATCCTGCAAAATAAAAAGCACAAAACAAATAAATGAATTTCCCTTGAGATCCAACAAACACCATTGATTACGTGCGTGCGATATTTGTGGCAACAATAGAACCACGCAAACCCAAAAAAGTTCGGAAATCTAATAACCTATCATCAGAATGGGTCTTCTCGTCAAGCAAAAAATTATACTGAAATCCCGAGCAACCTCCAGCTTCAATACTCAAACGCAACAACTTCGTACCACCCTCATCGGCTTGCAACTCTTTCATTCGCTGCATAACATTAGTACATTACTAATTTATTGATATTTAAGTTATAGGCCATCTGACACAAGCAATATCATAGCTGAATAACACAATTATACAAAAAAAAAATAAAAAAATATATATATATATATAGCCCCATAATAAACAAGGCAAAACTCTTACAAAATTAAGCCATGTCTGAATCTCCACAAATAATCCATACTGAATCATTTCTATATCTTACACTACTCAGATATTTGTGTGAAATAAGGAAATTGATTCGTTTTTTTAGTTTTTCTAGATTCAATCGAAAATACTTTGAACCACCTAGAAAGTGTAGAATCCAATACCACGGTCAATATACCGGTAAAAACTTCGAGAAATTATCAATGCAAATTCAGTCCACAAAGTGGAATTGACAACAAAAAAATAAATAAAAAAGGCGTATGAAATTACTCGGACACAACCGTCGGTCATATGAACGGCGTCGGACGGCGGAGATGGAGATTCAATTGAATCTAGCTGAGGTTGTGGAACGGCGGAGGTTGAGCTGAGAAACCTGGAATTTTGGCGGACTCGAGCGGATAAGTAGGGCGCCAGCCGGCGGATAAGCGACGGGGACGCCGTCGTCATCATGCTACTCACCGATCAGATGGCTGGTTTTTTGGATTTATGATATTTTTTTATTTTTTTATTTTTTATATTATATATGTTTGAATTTTACTATCTTTTCTTGTGTTTCCATAAAATGGGATGGGAGAAAATTGCGAATTTGGTCCCGTTAGATTGGGACGGTTTCATTTTTAGTTCCAAGAGACAAATTTTTAGTCCTTGACCAATGTTTGTTCCGTATTTGGTCCCAAATTCAACGGACCGTGAAGTCATCATTAACCCTCAGGACTAAAATTGTGACCGTGAGACTAAAATTGGACAGTTCCAATCTAACGGGACCAAATTTGTAATTTCCTCAGTTTTATTACTTTTTTTGTTGCAATTTTTTATCCCGTGAGTATATAACAATCAGTGATAGTAAAAATTTAGTTTCGAGACCAAAAAAATAAAAATAATAACTATACAATGTTTTCTATATTTAAAATTAACTTTTACTAAATAATAAATATATTTTAAAAATAATTATTTTATTTTATTAGAAATATAGAACTGTAGGGTTAATAAACTTTATAAATAAAAATGAAAATAAAAGTAATATAAAATATTATTGGTTTGAAAACTCAGCCAAACATGAATCGATTAGAATTAGTTGAATGGACTAGTCAATAATATATATTTTTTGATAAGTTAATAAATATTTATATTTTTTAATATAACAAAAATATAAATTTAAATATATTTGATATATATATATTCAAATATATTTAAATTTATATTATTATGTTTTCTGTATTTAAAATATTTTTAATTAAATAATAAATATATTTACAAAATAAATTTTAATTTTGATGGGTCTCCTCCTAGATCTGGAGTGAGCCGGTGGAAACGAGCTCCGGTCTGTTTGAATCGCCTCCAAGTCGTCCGTGAGCCGCCGTGAACACCTGCAAGAACGCATCACCGGAAGTGTTTTCCGGTGAAGAGCCTCCGATGCTCAAGTCAGTGAGAGAGAAGAAGATGAGCTCTGCTCAGTAGGAGCAGCAGCTGAATAATGAATGGAGAAAATGAATGTTAGGGTTTGGAGGTACCTATACTCTTTTATATAAAGGTAGAAATGCTTACTGGAAATACCTGAAATGCTTACTGGAAATACCTGAAATGCCCTGGCCGACTTACACGAAGTGTCCAAAATGCCCTGGTCGGTTCGCATCATGCCCACTCTTTGAGTCAGCACCTAGATTCCTTCTTATCTCATATAAATTCTCTAACTCAGGAGGCCTTGCTATGATATCGAAATAAATGTGAGTCGTCAGAGGTCTTCTAAGTCGATTCTGAGCCTTGTCGAGTCGACTTAAGGTCACATTTGTATATCCGAGGCTCTGAATACTCATTCGCTTTCTAGCGCGGAAGTCGACTTATACTAGGTCGACTTCCTAAAATCGTCTTCGGATCGCCCCTAGACCGGTGGTGATCCTTGTATCACCGATCGGCCATGTCGACTTTGGAGATATCGTCTCGACGATATCCTTGGCAGCATCTTGTCGAGTCGAGTAAGTAACGTCTGAACCGGGTTATGTAACAAGGCTATATCAAATTTAAGAATTATGCTACTTAGCCAACCTCCATTACAACTTGGTTTACAACCATGTGTAATGGAGGCATTAAAAAATACAATAATAACCATGTGTAATGGAGGATGGCTATGTAGCATCACTCCAAATTTAATTATAGATATATTGGTTGATAAAAAAAATACAATTGTAGAGGTTAATAAAAATTTAAAACGTAAAATAAAAATAATATCAACTACCATTATTTTTAAAATTGGGTTAAACTGACTGTTGAATCTAGAATCGGTCAAAAAGTTGGATTCCTTTGAACAAACTGGTTTCCAATGAACCAGTCAGAATTGGTTGATCGGACTGATCTATTGTGTGTGTGCATATATATATATATATATATATATTTAAATATGTTAATAAATATTTATATAATTTTTAATATAACAAAAATATAAGCTTAAATATATTTGATATATATAAATTCAAATAAATTTAAATTTATATTATTATTAATGTATTAAAAAATTTAATTGCAATACAATGCTTTCTATATTTCAAATATTTTAATTAAGTATTGAATATATTTAGAAAATCATCATATAATTTTATTATAATTATAATGGTTGATAAAAAAATAAAATATAACTATAGGGTTTAATAAAATTTAAAAAATAAAAACAAAAATGAAAATAATATTAACTACTACAAATTTTGTCCCGTTAGATTGGGACGGTCCAATTTTAGTCCTACGGTCGCAATTTTAGTCCTGAGGGTTAACGGTGACTTTAAATTTTGGGACCAAATGTGGAACAAAAATTAATTAAGGACTGAATTTGGGACCAAATGCAGAACAAACATTAGTTAAGAACTGAAAATGTGCCTCTTGGAACTAAATAAAACCGTCTCAATCTAACGGGACCAAATTTACAATTTCCTCAATGGGATGGGAATAATACGATCACGTGACCCGACAAGTGCTGGGCCTTTTCTTTTGGGCTATTTAAATGATAAAACTAAGTACAGTAAAGGCTAAAATGAATCTTGTTTGGGCCAGGCCGACTGAGATGTGGGTTCAGAGAGTATAAGTTTCATTCATGCTTAAAATGAGAAATGGAAGAGAGAGCTCATAATACTAAACTTTATTTGTTTTTTGTTTTTGTTTTGTTTCTTTTTCTTTTTTTTCTTTATCTGGCATATCAATTTTGTTTTAATTAATTCAATACTTTAAGGTTTATATATCACTTATAATAGTGTGTAGGTCGTGCGGTGCACGGGTAAATAATATTAAATAATAATTATAAATAAAGAAGTGAGATTAATATGTGATATAATTACAATATAAAATTATCTTGTCTAAAAATTATCTTTAGTATTTTTCCCAAAAAGTTTCGAAATACATTTAGGCAGAGGTCCCTCGAGCTCTATCATCTCCTCTTCTTTTCGCTTTTATGCAACCTTTCATGAGTAAAATATTTAGTTAGGCATTTCACAAAGTAATATGCTGAATTACAGTTGAATGATGCAGATGTGGATACTGACCAACCAAAATGCAAACATTGTATTGGAATAGAGTAAGCTTAAATATGGGTTTGGCATTACGAAAGTTGGTTAAGAGTAAAACTAACAACCAAGAATAATAGAAAAAATAGAGGATTTTGGGGCTGTTGTCAACCTGCTCGTATCATAAAAGTGTAAAACGCAAATCTTAAATCAACAAAAACCAAAAAAAAAAAACCTTATTTCAAAAATTTTTCTTGAGCCTAAAATACAAAACATTGTGAATCATATCAGAAACCACAGTAGCATACACTATGCCTAAATGACCCAATTACTAAAATTCGGTAAGAATCAGATGAAAGAACGCAAAATGCTATGTTTCTATACAACCAACAATAATGTTAATTAAGTTTATAAAGCAAAATATTATCAACACAATAATTCAACCTGAAAAGTGATAAACAAATCAAGAAAACCAATCAAATAAAGTGCATAGCATCACAAGAACACTGCTTTCTTGCCCGTCAGGTCCCTCAGCACATGAGCAACCCTTCTATATTCCCCGCAGCCGCAGCCGCAGCCAAAGTAAGACTTTGCCAGCATACAAAAATCACCATCCATCATATCATAATCGTATTCCTTGGGCTCCGACAATGTCGGGGTGGTGATGAATGAAACTCCCCCAGAAGAGGTGGAGGAGGCGGCTGTCGGGCCGGCTGTCCGATAGCGTCGCCGGATAGAGGAGCTCCCACGCTGGAATCGAGTGTGTGAAGGAGGGTGCTTTGAGGGGTCTTGCTTTATTCCTATAACTGCTCCACGGCCCTTTCCCTTCAAGCAAATAAAATCTTGAAATCAGTACCGAAGAAAATTGATGATTTTTGTCACGAATGTGGGTGATGTATCATTTGGTGGCGGAGTATAGGCCGCGGTCACTGAGGTGGCGGACCACGGAGCAAAGCTCAGTTCGATACAGTTTTCTCTGGAAGCCATTACTTTTTACAGATTAATTCTCACGCAATTACTTATGCCATCCTCTGGATTTGTTAGTCCTTCGGATTTATTTTATTCAATCTTTTTTTTTTCCAACGATATAAGTGATATAAAACACAAAGCACAAATGTGCGAATACACAACAGCCAACGGCTGAATACACCTCAGTCAACAGCTGAAAAACACAAGAAAAAAGAAAACAGAGGACAAGTCAGAAGACCGCATAAGATCCCGACTAGCAACGCTAGAATAAAAACACAACGCGAAACAACTAACGAAACACAGACAAACTAAAACGACTACAAGACCCTAGCAAGGTAATACCCGAGTGTCGGACCCCAACAGAATAATACCCGAGTGTCAACCCCAACAGGGTAATACGGTGACAGTCAGGCGCACAGAGTGACACTTGGGCGCACAGAGGCCAACGGCCCAAACCGAAAACACAGAAACTAGACACAATCCAACACAAAACAAGACAACACAAAACAAACACACGCTAAACAAAACCATTATAGACAAGCAACGAAGAGCTCTTCCCACAGCAGAAAGCAACGCCGAACACAACCGTGGTAGAGTCGAGCCCAAAATCCCAATCCAGAAACTGCATGAGAATTTTGGGAGTTAAAATTGAGACTGAAATGGAGAAAATCAAAGAGAGTGTTTTGGGGTTTCTATCGGCGATCACGTCGTGATAGTGATTTGAAATTACTTGACGATAAATTCCAGTAAGAGTCAGCTTTTTTTTTTTTTTTTTT